TAATGCTAAATATCCTTGCCCCAGAGTTCAAGCACCTGATGTTATTATAAATCCAGTAGCCAGTTTCTGAAGTCCATCCAGTTCCCCAAAGAAATTTTCTAATTACTCACCAGGATTGATCCTTACAGGTCTTTCCCTGCCCCTCAGCGGAATAGAAATGATCATTTGTGGTTCCTAACAAATGGGACAATAATTTTCTTTTGCTAATTTCTTTGGCTAATTTGCTGCTTTTCAGTACTTTTTCAAAATATTATTTATGTTTGATCCCTGTTATCAATTATAGTTGAAATTATATTACAAATTTAGAATATTATATTGTTTTACAAATATGCTAACATGTTACAATTGCAAAATTAAGGGGCTGTTATAATTTCAAGCAGGGATATTGAACAGAGACAGACACAAAAAAGGTTTCATTTTTTCATAGATTTACAAGCACCAGGAGAACTGCTTTCCATCAAGAGATATAAACAAATAAATATTAAAAGCAAAATGACAGTCAATTCTGTTTCAAATTCAGGAAGAGCTCCTTGCGACATCAGTGGAAAACAGAAACCAATGTGTCAGTTTAGAGCTTTTCATGGTCCTTGAAATACCTTCATAGCTATTTTGTAAAGTAGGAGGTCTGTGCAGGAAGAGAAGCATCTAAATAATGGTAGCCTAGTAGGTAATATATTTTGGATCAAATCAGCATTCTCCAGTTGTGTATGCTAGAGCAAGAATATCAAACCATCAGGAAACATCACTTGTATCAAAACTGGAATGTCAACACTTACAGCACACCCCTTCTCACTAACTAGCCCATGTAGCTGGAAACAGTCTTGCTGTGGTGAACTGTGGGGTGTATTTTGGGTTCTCAAACTTATCTAACACGCCAAGGTGACAAGTTGTCTCTTAACATCTAAAGCTCAGGGTTTTTAATAACTATCATCAAAGTGGCACTGAGTCTCTCTCTTAGCCGTTAGGCAAAAACCTACATTGTAAAGCTGTTGGTCAGCAGCTGCTGATAAAATTTAGGCACAAAGACAAGAGCAAGGTGCAAAAGATTTCAAGAATACTAAGATGCTTCTGTACCCAAACAGGATACTCGTCAGTTCAGTAAAACTACATCAGTCTAAGAAATTCACTAGCTTTTGTACTAAAGGGGCAGTGAATTTACACATTCCCACACTGTCACCAGGTAGGAAGATAGGTAAATAGATACTCAGATAGGTAGATAGGTAGATGATAGATAAAGATTGAGAGAGAGAGAAAGAAATAGACAGAGACAGATGATAGACAGACAGACAGAGAGGTAGACAGATAGATAGATACATAGATACATAGGTAGATAGATAGATAAGCAGAAAAAGATACATGAAATATGATAGTTTTTAAAATATTTGACATTTGGTGATCTGGGTAAAAATGTATACATCAATCTTCTAGCTGCTTTTTCAGGCAGGATCAAATCTTATAATATGCTCACAACTTAAATAAACAAGCAAAAGCTGAAGTCGCACTTGAAACCCTGTTCTCTGATTACTACATCTAATATATTATTAATATGATTCATATATATGTTGGACTCTACATATGTGTGTACATGTGCACGTGTGTATCTTATCTTCACTCCTTATTGCCCCATTACTATCAGGGCTACAACTTTGAAAACTTGTAAAAGCTTGATGTTCTTCAATGCTTCGAGCTGCAAGCGTGTGCTTCTCCAGTGCCAACAGCTGGGGCCTGTGCCAGGTCACCTGGTGTCTGGCGGTGCCGTGTGTGACTGGGCAGGGGGAGCAGGAGGCTCTTCTTGTCCTGGGTCACTTTGGGGAGCTTAAATGCTGAGAGTAGCCTGGAGGTGTCACAGTCTGTCTTACAGTGTTAAACTCTGCGCTTTCCGTCTTCCTTCCCCCGGATTCTGTCCAACTATCTCCACAGCGCCTAGTACCCTAGGACCTGCCCACCAGTCTGCACCCCAACACAAGGCCTCGCCACTTGCTGCTTGTGTGTTACAAAATACTGTTCTGGATCCCAGCTGTCTGTTGCTAAAACACTTACTCATTTCTCAGATCTCTCCATGAATATAACCTTACCAGGAAATTTTCACTAACTTTTTTTTTTTTGCTCTAATCTGATAACTCATCCTCTTTGTAAGAATTATTTTATTTGCATTGGGTATTTATTATTGTGACCACTGCTAATCCTCCCTCTAGTGTGTAAACCCATAAAGCAAACACAGCTTTGATCTGTACAAATAGGAGTCTCAAGATTTAAAGCTCAAGCTATGACCAATAGGAACAATCTTGTTGATAAATGAAGTAAATTTTGTTCATTTTTTCCACTCCACTGTAAGCTATGCATTTTCAGGAACTTTTTAACTGTCTCACTAATGAAGTTAACATATTCCTTGGCCCTTTAGACAGAGTCAGCCACTATCTTGTCTTCTCAAAAATGTATGTGACTACACTGACAAGGTTTGCTTTGAAAGTGCTAGAACGTCTTCAAACCACTGGATACCTCTGTGGTAGCAGAGAGGATTTCATATATTATTCAGTCCCAATGATGTTCTTTCATATTTCACCCTTTTTATTATTCTTATGTTACTGGTCTAATGTGTGTTGTATCTTTACAGTTAAACATACTGAAGTGAAATTAAAGAATACTACATGGGCATCAATGTATACGGAGATTGATTTTTAATTAAATAGTAGTTCACATAGTTGAAGGCATCACCATGGGAAATCATAAGTGTTCAGTTTATTTTCATTCATATGCAGTTTTCAGACCTTAAAAGTGCTCTTTTTACATACACAGTAGCCTTCACTTAGGCAATCTTCAGCATTCAGCCGGCCATTTGTCACATAAATGCATTTATTGTCAGCATTTTTAAGTCTGGGAAGAGGCCTAGAAGAGAAATAATTTCCATTAATTGTTTGAGCCCTGATCAAGGAGCTAACCCACATACGGTTGCAGCAGACTTCTGATTCACCCACCTCTGCTCTCATCAGTGTTTTTCAGTAGATTGGCCTGTACTGTTCCTCACTCTGTCTCTGGTGAATCCTTTCACTGCCCCCCTCCCAAACTCTGGCCTATACCCCCAGCTTTTCTATGCATAGACAATAAATAAATCTTAAAAAATAAAAAAGACTAATATCCAAGTGCCAGAGTCAATCCAGACAGTTTAGCTTCACACTCTACATTATTAATGGAATCATATATAGTATAGAAAAGTTTTTCATGGAAGGTCTTACAAGGACAGACACTAGAGATGAGGGGTAGGTAAAATTAATGAATCTTGTACTTAACCTGGTTTTTGAAGTTTCCAGGAATCTAAAGTAGGATCAGAACCACTATCGGTCAGAGGTGGGCACAGAGAAAATTAACTTCTTAGAAGACCACCCCAGGCTGACCATAAAGGAATACTTTCCACAGCGATGACTGCATAATGAGTATTATGTCACATCTCATCAGCCAGAAAATGATCAACATTCAAAATTAAAAGTATAGTTGCTACCAAATGCCTATAATTTTCACACCATAATAAATATCTAAATGAAAATCATTGTAAGTCATGAGCTATCTGAAATAGATTACAATATGGAGTGAGCATATGAGCATCTGATATTGAGATATTGGCTAGGGAAAAATTCTGTGATTGTAACATTAAAATTTCCAGCTGCTACTACATAATTAGTCTGATAATAAGACAGTTAAGTTTAACATAATTTGTAGATAAATGCTGAACACATTTCAAAAATCTTTGTAGTGATTTTTTTCTGACATCCTAATAAAACATAACTATTTTAAATAGTCAATTTGGATAATTTTATCATTATTAGTCAGAAGTTTCTTCTTTATCACTACCACATTTAATTATTAATATTCTGACTTCACATGATCGAGGAAGCCCATAGAAGTATCTAGGCCATGGTGAGAATATTAACATATGAAGCTGAGCTATATTATCACTGTGCAATGGATCCCAAAATCTAGTGTATTTTATAAATTTTACAGAAATATTTTTCAGAATGCAATTCTATATATCTCACTCTACGTAGCCTAATGAAATCAAAAGGATTGAGGTCAATCACCTTTATGAAAAAGTATGTAATTGGGTTGAATAATGTCCCCTGAAATGCATGCCCCCCACTCAGAACATGATATGACCTAGAAATAGATTCCTTATAGAGGTAATTGATGTAAGGACTGTGATAAAATCTTGATGGACTGGACTAGATCATTCTTATAGGAGAGAAATGGACAGAGCACGAAGCAGAAAAGAAGTAGCCAGAAGTTGGAGGGATAGATTTGGGGTCACCAAGGTCCACAGACAGCATCTCTGTGGCCCAGGTCATTGAAGAGCTTCCATTTTCACTGAGGTGAAAATGTTGGTATTTTGATAAATAATTTCTACAGCACATACAATACACCAAATTATTGCTCATTATTACTGACAAATATTGTCCTAGAAAATTTCAGCTAACTCCTTCAAGAGAAATGAGCTTCTAAAGGAACAAATCTTCCAATAACTCTGACTTCTGCCTTCTCAACTAAACAGATTTCATTGCTTAAAGACAGCCAGTTTGTGTCTTAAGACAAAAAATAATAACAATAACAGTGTTTGGCAACAAATACAGTGAACACTGGGTGAGACATGAGAGAAAGATGTTTCAAGAAAATTTCCTTGGAAGCTCATGGTTTGGAGTTTTGACAACTCTGATTTATAATCTTGAAATCTTGTGCAAGATTATTTATTACATTACTAGTAAGACATAGAAGGTGGGAAACTTCAATCATAAAACTGATGAGTAATTCAATGACTTATGAAAATTAAAATTTTAGTCTAGTCCTGTCATCTTTCACTTCCTTTTTCACAATTACCTGTCTATTCCTGGGTGATTTCTTATGGCTACATCTGTGTGTTATCTAACCTCTGCTTACAGACGCCCAATAAATATTTAGATGTGGTTGAAATAAGAGGATTCTGCTTTGAAATTTTAAAATAGCAAAAAACTTACCTGTTCAGAGTATAATCTGTGCCATCAAACCAAACCCATTTTTGTTGTTGGGTCTTGTAAGATAAACTAAGGAAAAACTTTTCTTGAATCATTTGGCACTGTAATTTTGACAAATGCATTACAAAATCCTGCAGAGAAAGGAAAATAAATCTGAAAGTAGAACTTCCCCTGAATTAAAGGAGTCTAATTGCTTAAATATTTTATTTTTCAACTCCCTTTTACAACCATTTTTATTATATGCAAATAACATAGATAACTAAACCTTAGATTTTTTAGACAAATTTAGATTTTCAACTATTTGTAGCTACATTATTCATGAGCAATTTGTTTGGTCTGTATTATATTTTAGCTATTTCTTTTATTTGGTGTTGTAAAAATTAATAATAAAACTCTTAGGAATAGTCAATTATATTAGACACACAAAAAATAGGGCGACATTCATTAACTTGGGTAATGCCTGCTGACATAGGTCACAGTTGAAATAGTGAATTAAAGGACAATAGCAGAGATTTTATCAGGTGGTACTAAGTTTCCAGGATATTTTTCAAGGGATGGTTTAATAAATTAAAATAGTAAAAAGGAGGGTGCATTGACCAAGAAAAGAGATTTGGGGATGAGAGGTAGAAGAGATAAAATGTGTCACTGGCATGTGAAACAATTTGAGAAACAAAGACATGGAGGAGCACAGGGTCCTTCATGGATGTGAAGAAGCTCATGGCCGTGAGCCCAGGCAGGCTGCCCCAGAGCAGGGGCTGGGGCGCCTCAGTGGTGGAGGCAGCCAAGATACAGGTAAGAGTCACACATTTAAAAATAACTTATATGCGATACTTGTACTTAATCCGAAATGCTGATAAAGCCATAAGCATTTATGAACACTAACTGGCATTTTGCAGATTCCCAACTGTCCTATAAAAGCTGTTTTAGAGGAAAATGAACTTTGTCTGACTTCTGTCATTTTTAATTCTCCAGAACAAACGTCACTATAATTTAAGAAACAAAATCTTATTCTTACCATAGCTTCGTTAGTATCCACTTTAACAAAGCTTGCATTGAAGCCAGTGCAATAGCCAAGACATTTATTCCAAGGAACCATCATTCTTGAAAAAAAGTAGCAGTTTCCTCCATGCTGATACCAGTTGAGTGAACAAACAGGATCTTTCCAAACTGTTATAAAAGATAGAATATTCATGAGTCCCTTCCTCCAGTGCAAGTCATATCCATAAATTTACAACAGGGGCTTCTGCAGCGACTGCACACAGTGTCCAATCCCCAGCCAGGGAGCTGACCAACATGGCGCGGCAGACCTCTCCGTCTGGCCTGCTTCTCCCTCAACAGTGTATCCCCGTGGATCTGTCTGTCCTGCTCTCCACTCTGTCTTTGGTGAATCTTCTCACTGCCCCCGCACCCCCACCCCCAGCTACAACTCTGACCTGTACCACAGTTTTTGTATAAATAAATAAATATTTTTAAAAATTACACCAGGTCTATGTTCAAACAGACCATTTGCTTTAAACTACATATATAAGCTCATTAATTTAGTGCTAGTTTTATCTCACATTAATTATTCACCACATTGAAAACATTTTGGTCTTTAGTTTCATAAGGGAGACAATTTTTTAAGTTACAAGATTAGGAATGTGTCACAAAACAGAACCCGAATCTAAACATATATTTGTTTAAAAACAAAAAATAAGGAAAAGTTTAAAAGAAAAAGAAACAGGTCACCAGGGAACAGTTCATGCAAGATCCCACCAAGACATCATAACTAACCAGTTATAGCTTTATCCCCTCCCAAAAGCGGATTCTGGACCAGTCCTTCTCAGGGACCCCTACTGACTTCATCTCATCATGACATAACCTCCACTAATGGAAGGCGGCTTCGCTGAAAAATCTTCCTTTGCTTTTGCCAATAACACTGGCTCACTTTTATTTGTGTTTAACATTTTCAATTTTGTACAAACCCTTGCTGATTCTTTCTGCTTGCTAGACTGGACACTGCCCAGTATTGAATCATATAAGAAAACAACTACATTTTTATATATAATTGTGTATTTTAACAATTTATATGAATTTATATGACTATTGACAAGTACTAATGTTACTGATGGATTCACTAACATCTGCTTACATGTATAGAGCTGAATATCAAGAAAATAGCTGATAACAAGTGAATTCCTCCCCCTCTCTCCTGCCAATATAATTACTAAAACCTTCCAGAGTTACCTGCTTTATTTGCTTCCTTGTCACACAAGCTATGTCCTGGTTGTCCCTCTTCATTAACTGAGCTCTGATTCACTGAAGAGAATCCAGAAAGATCATGTTACAAAGGTAAATGGAAAATCCTGTCTGTCTGATACTGCAATATAAAAGAAATTTAGAAAATGATTAATGAAATATCACTCACATTGATATTGTCCTGATGAGACTCCAGAATGAATTCCCCTAGTGAAAGGACTCTTTCGTAGATTTTTTTTTTTTTGGTCAATAACCTTTTCCTACATTCTTTCCACCTTTAAAAACCATCATTTTTTGGCACATGGGTGACTGGGTGATGGGAAACCCATGGGCATTGCAACTGAGATGAAAAAATATATATATACAAAATGATGTAAAATTAAACTATTATATTTTTTTTAAAAATCACCAGTTACGTGCCTCACTCCAGTCACAAAAATCAACTCGAAGTGGATTAAAGACCTAGACATAAGAACGGAAACCATAAAATACCCACAAGCAAAGATGGGCCAAACACTACACGACATACACTTCAGCGACATCTTTAAAGACAGAGCACCCAACGCTACAATAGTGAAGGCAAAGATAAATAGATGGGACTATATCAAGTTAAAAAACTTCTGTACAGCAAAAGAAACATTACTAAAAACAAACAGAAAGATCACTAATTGGGAAAACATTTTCTCACACAAAAGTAGTGATAAAGGACTGATCACAAAAATATACGGAGAACTGATGAAACTCAACAAAAGTAAAGTAAACAACCCCATCAAAAAATGGGCAGTAGAGCTAAAAAGACACTTCTCCAAAGAGGAAATGCAGATGGCCAACAGGCATATGAAAAAATGTTCAACATCACTTGTAATAAGGGAGATGCAAATTAAAACCACAATGAGGTACCACCTCACCCCAGTGAGAATGGCACATCTTCAAACAACTAGCAACAACAAATGTTGGCGAGGATGTGGAGAAAAAGGAACTCTCCTACACTGCTGGTGGGAATGCAAACTAGTACAACCACTATGGAAAACTGTCTGGAGGTTCCTCAAACTGCTAAACATGGAGCTTCCCTACGACCCAGCAATCCCACTCCTAGGTATCTACCCAAAAGACACAAAAACACTGATTGAAAAAGATACTTGTACCCCCATGTTTATTGCTGCTTTATTTACAATTGGAAAAACATGGAAGCAGCCCAAATGCCCAAAAGTAGATGACTGGATTAGAAAGATGTGGTACATATATACAGTGGAATATTACTCAGCAACCAAAAAAGAGAAACACATGTCTTTTGCAGCAACTTGGATGGAGCTGGAAAAGATCATGCTTAGTGAGATAAGCCAGAAAGAGAAAGAAAAATACCAGATGGTTTCACTCATAGCAGGAGTATAATGGACCAGGCGAGAAAATAACAAAAATAATGAACAACCATATACCAGAGACATTCTGTGGGGGTAGAGTGGGGAATGGGATCAAAAACGGGGGGGGGAAGGGAGGGAAATGCACGGGACTATGGGGGTGGCACAGGGGTGATTTGGTGATGGGAAACCCGCGGGGATTACAATCGAGATGGAAAAAAAAATGTGCAAAATGATGTAAAAATAAACTTTGTAATAAAAAAAAATAAAAAATTAAAAAAAAATCACCAGTTACGAAATTACAGAAAAAAAAAAGCCCCTGCAGATCTACAGACCCTTCCTAATTGTTAGATAGGACACGCCCAATTCAGGAATCATGTAAGAAAACCAGTCAGATATGTATATTTATTAATTTTTTAATAATAAATATAGAAACACTTGACCCTACAAGTAAGTTTCACTTGCACCTGCTTACATGTGTACACTTGTATGTATCAAGCAACATAGCTAGTCAAAGTGAATTCTCTTCTCTCTCCTGCAAATGAAATTAAGAACTGAGACACTTCCAAACTTACCTGCTTTATTTCCTTCCTTGTTACAGGAGAAATTTCCTGGATGTCCTTCTGCATTAACTGGGTTCAGCTTCACTGAAGGGAATTCAGAAAGATGTTTTCTTTTAACTCAAATGAAAAATAATTGGACAGCCTGACACTATACCACAAAAAAATACAAATGTGACTCATGAAAATATCAATCACATTAAAGAATTCAATGTAATAGAAAAAATAAAATAAATATAAAACTATCATATAATTATGACAAATTTATGCTGTAATTGACCATACATAAAGCAAATTCTGTTATAACATTGTTAAACAAGGTTTTCACATTCGTAAAAAAATATTTAAATGGAACAAAGTAAACACAAGAATAAATAAACAATAGAGTCCTGATAAACTTTCAAGTGAACAATAATTTGAAATCATGGTCAATATTTGTGTCACAGAACTTCATGCTTGATCAAGGAATAGAGTGAATTAAAAATGTATAATAAACAAATTTTAGAATATGAGCAGAAAATGCATATTTCTTTTTTACTTAGTACTTACACTGTGTAACTAAGAATCCAACAGACCCAAGCAGAGCCAGGCAAATCACTCCCAGAATCACTGCAATGATTTTCCACAAAGAAGATGGAGCAGGATGGTCTAGAGAAAAGGATGAATACACCTTGTGACATCAGTCCGAAAGTTGATGGATGTCTTGAACATTCCTTGGATGTCTTGAATGTTCCTTTTTCAGTGACCCCAGCAATATCCCTAAAATCAGCTGCAGAATGGGATCAGCAGTAACACTGGTTTGCTCCAACCTGAGTTTCTCTCACCAAATGTCATTTCCTACATTTCAAACCTCAAATGTGAAAAACAATTGTATAACTAATAGTAAGCATATCTACAATTATCACTATTCCCTCCTGATTCTTCAGCCCCAACAGCAACAGGATATCATTCTATCAGATTACGTTCACTCTTATCCTGGATCCTAAGACAGGTATTTCCCCTCCCATGTTTGACTTTTGATTCTCTGTAATTTTTATTTTAAGTAGTCATTGAATTTTTTTTGGAATAAGACAAAAAATAAATGCTAACCTACATAATGAAGAGGTTAGTTGAACTACTGGGTAGCAAAGACTAAGGTAAGAGATCCAGAATGAAAGTTTTGAGAAGTCATTTACCCTGTAAAAGGGCAATAGAAAATGAAGACAATCATGACAAAGACTACCATGATTTACAAATTAACATAAAATTGAATCCTTTACAAAACCTTTATTTTGCAATCTCAGACGTGTTTAGGCAACAATGAACAGATATTGCATTGACATGAGTTCACTTAATAGCAATAAACTTCAGATCCTCCTAATGAAATGGGTAAATGTGATATCAAATTCATTCTAGTTTCCACAATACTCTTTTGTTAAAGAGTGATAGTCATTTGGGTAGTTGAACATTCTTCTATCTTGAAGCCATATTAAAATCAAATCATATTAAAAATCAATTAAAGCATATATACAAAGAGAAAACACATGAGAGAAGAAAATGATGAAGTAGATATTTTTTAAAAGGTTTTGAAAAGCAGAACGTGAATGGCAGGTGAAAATGAATTAGTCAATCAGCACAGCAATGAGGTAGAAAGCAAAGGACGGAAATTAAGGTCCTTACTAGCTGCATGGATTGGACAATTAACTTAAATTTCTCCTCATTGATGCACCATCTGTTGATTAGTGATAATAGTGTCTAAATTATGAGATTGTTTGAAGAGTGAAACACATTATGATAAAAGCTTGCAGAGTCCTAGCTTATAGTAAATGAACAATAAGGTGTGAAATATAAATGCCCTAAAGGAAGAGATGCTGTAGCCTCTGGATGTGGGAGTAGAGTTGGGCTTTTTCTCTAATGGAACCAAGCATGGCAATCTGGCTTGATTTCAATAAATGATGCCTGGTCACTCTTTGCTGCTACAGACATAGGGTGCTGAAGAGACGAGCATGTAGAGGGGTGAAAGAGCAGGGTGGGGGCACAAGATAAGCATCTACCCGAGTAGTGCAAAGGAGAGATTGGTTGCTTGGAGCAACTGTGATGGGGAAAATCTGGTATTTTAAAATAGAGGCTGGCAGGATTTTCTGATGCAGATTGAGAGCAAAAGAAATGATCAAACAGGGGGTGCAAGTCTGTGGGTGCGAAGAACCATTGCATGCAGTGGTAACTAATGGAAGTGGGAGAAGCGACATGAGAATTTCGGGGTTCCTATCAGGAGTTCAGTTTGGAATTCCTACTAGCATCATAAGTAACTTGAATTGAGAATTGTGTTTATTTAGTCTGAAGAACCAGGGCGAAATGTAAGATGCATTACATGCAGATTGTTAATAATTAACATGTAGCTGATCTTTAAAGTCCAAGACTGAAGGCATCCCTAGAATAAAAGTAAAAATGAAAGGTAACAAGGTAGGATGAATCTGAAGACACTTAGATATATCGAAAATATAAAAGATGTACTTTTGTCGTATGAAAACAAGAGTTATAGTGTATACATGCATTATTTTTTATCTATTATCATATGTAATTATGCATATGCAAAAATGGGCTGGAAGAAATAGCTCCAATTATTATTTTTTTTTATTTTAGTAGTACAATTAATGCCAGAATAATTTCCTTCATTTTTCATTTTAATAATGTGTCATTTCTTTTTATAATGTAGCACTTTCGGAATAAAAGCTTTGATTCTAGAAGTGCCAAACCAATGTTCTATATTTATTCAGGTTCTATAATTTTTTTTAGATCCATAAACACATCACCACATTCTTAGAATAAATATTGCCTTTACCTTGGAAACAGTGAAACCTGAAGTCCTGTTAAGTCTCAGCACCACAACCTGGCCAGCAATCTTGGGCAAAGTAAGCTTAGTTCGATCCCAGGCCAGGGAGCTGACCCATATGGCACAGCAGACCTCTCCTGTCTCTCCCGCTGCTCCATAGTCTGTGTATTTCAGTAGATCTGCCTGCTCTGCTCCCCACTCTGACTCTGGTGAATCCTCTCACCCCCTACGCTTCTGGCCTACACACAAGTTCTATGCAAAACCAAATCTTAAAAAATCATAATTAAAACAAAAATAAATAATTTAACTTATAGTATTCTTTAGTATTGATTTCCATATGAGAAAGTACTTATATTGAGAAAAACCTGAAGGTATTTTTATGTAAAAATAAAACATGGTGATGTGTATTTGTGCACAATCCTACATACAATAATTTCATTAATAAAGTTTTCCTACAGACACTGAATGTAACTACATACAATGTCAGACGGATTATTCATTAGGAATGAAAAAAATGCTATTTCTGAATTATTGTAGTCAGCTTCTAGTGTAGAAGTTTTAAAAAATTGTTAAGAATATAGTTGTTAAGAATATGAGTTATGTTCTGTGCTTTTTAAAGGGTAATTAATATTTTGGTGTGTATGATGTATAGAAGCATGATGATATACAATCTTATATATTTTAATATAATTTTCGGAAAGAACAAGTAGAAAACATGAATACCTTTATTTATACAATCTGATGGAGCATTTTGTTTAGATGTTTCAAGTTCTCGCTTGTTCTGTGGCTGAACTGGATGTTGGAGTCGCAAGTCTGAATAAACCACTTGGCTCATTCCTGAAATGTAGAGAGATGATATAATGAACAGAAAAAAATATATTCCCAGTCAGTGTCAGTTGTGAAATTAGTAAGTAAAATTGATGTTAAATAAAGCAGGATGAGGAATGAATCAAAGACCTAAGAATTGAGATGCAATCCTAGAAATGGAAATATTTATAGAAAGAAAAATACAAATATTTTCTACTTATAAGGTGCTATGATATATCACTGCTAGATTCTTTAATGTGATCTATTCACAAGTATAGCATACAATTATAAATCTATATTTTGTAAGTGATAAACATGTCATTCACTGATAAGTGAAAATACAATGGATCTGTTTCTGTGCTGACATCCAAGAAAAGCTTATTCTACAGTGTGCAGCTGCCCCCTCCTCACCTCCCCTCCAGCCAGCCCCCTCCTAACCTCCCCTCCAGCCAGCCACCTCCTCACATCACCTGCACACAGCCTCCTCCTCACCTCCCCTCTACCCAGCCCCTCCTCACCTCCCCTGCTCCTGCCCCTCTCAGTCTCCCTTTACTTCCACCTTCCCCCATTTTCCCATAATTCCACTGAGACACTTCACTTTTTTCAATATAACGTAAATATTTTTCCAACCTGTATATTTTACTCCAAATCTCCATATCGAATCTGTTTCCCTCCGATTTTTGTTCATTATATTTTTAGTGTATTTGCTTTATAAGTAAAATTCCACATCTATAATAAAATTTGCAAATCCTTTAGCAGAAACCTGTTCCAGTTTGTTTCCTTATCTTTCATCATCATTCTATCAGATACCTCCTCTCATCTTGATATTAAAGTCTTCCCTTCATACTATAAATTCCTTAATCTATCTTGCTAATATTTGTTATGCTATAACTGATTGATTTCTTCATATGGCATAAAAAGTTAAAGTTGATAAGTTAGTATATTACATACTAAATAATTCTAGCTATTTTGAAATCTGAGAAACATTTTTCCTTATTATAACATTTTAGAAAATTTGCAGAGAGTCGATGTGAGAAGTTGTTTTTGTTTTTTTAATTCTCTCCCAGAAGATAATAAACCCAAGTTCCTATAATCAAAAGACACATAATGTGGGAAGATTAATTATAATTTATCCTATTGCATTTTGAATTCACTTGCCAGCTTTCTTTGTCCACTATTCCATATAACTTGTGTCATAAAACGCTACGGCAAAAATAAGTGATAATAATAAAGTGATTAAAATAATATTTAAAACATATTCTTTAGAAGTTTCTTAACTTAAACACACCTGATTTCCTTCCTAGCATCTCGCTTTCTACAATCTTTTCTCATGTTCTTTGTTCTCTGTCATCTTTTCTACTCTGTAAACCATATTTTTTCTTCCTAATGATGCAACATGAACATAAAATGACACATACACAAACATAAAATACATACAGATGCTTAAAAATTCAATGTACCAAAGTATTATTGTAAGAAAATACATATAGATATACATATTAATAGCAAGTAATCAGTCTTAACTATACACCTTCAATTACTTTAAAATTCTGAACAAACACATGTTGAAAAATAGAGTGGATATCTGAGAAATTATAATTACCTGATTTTTAGAAGAAAATGTCTGATCTTTTGAAGAGTACGTATCTATATCCTGAGAAGGAGCAGGTGCAAACTCTCATTAGAGAAGTTGAAATTTAAAATTGTTGAGAGCCCCTACTATGACATTAGAGAGGAGAGCAGAAGACAGGAAGAAAAATAAATACACAAGCTCATGGTGCCTTAGTCTCTCCCATGAGAGACTCTGACAGATGAGCACAGGGTCAAGAGTAAGAGAGCTCTGGAAGCAACCACACAGGAAACACTTCTAGGCTGCTCAATTTAGCTCAGTGTCACTTCTAGATTGGGCCTGTCTTCTGTCTTAAGTAACACAAGATCCTCAACATATTTGCATAATGGTCAGTCCCACTTACTTGGTCTTATAATGTCACGGATGGAACTGCAATATTGTTGTTAGGGAAGCATATCAGACATTTTTATTAATTTTAATGTAATTTAGTGCATTCTAAATTCAGTTAGTGATCCACATATATCTTTCGGAACTTTTGTGACGCATCTTGCAGACCCTTTCAGTCTAGGCAGGTGCTGTGTTTCTCCAGTAGGAGATGTGTGCACTGCCGGCCTCAGTGCACTCAGCTTTTCTCTCATGGACCACAGGTCACTCCCCAAGAAACACTCCCAGCAATCATGTCACAACCGACTAACAAAAGAATACTATTTGCTGTGTTAGTTACATTCATGCCAAATGTAATATTTCAAAGTTATTTTATTACTTGTGTGATCGAAAATGTTGCAAGTGTTTTGAACATTCTGCCATTTCTTTAGCTTATGTTAGTTGAAAAATTATATTCATTTTACCTTTTCCTTTAACATCTTTTAAGATTACAGCTAACAAACCTGGGTCACTTCTTCATCACCGGCAGGAAAATAATGATACTTCATGGTACTAAGTTAATAGAAAAGATATTGACATAAATAAATAATATGTGAACGATAGTTCAATAACCATTCTGAATTCAGGAAAAAGGGAAACTATAATAATATAGTATAATGAAATATGAGTATTTTAAGGACAATGTAATAAAATTCAATAAAAGACAAAGCATTTTACCTCAAGTATTTAACATCCTATTTAATTTTTAATTTCACATTGAAAATAAACTGTAGTGATGATTTATATAATTGATAAATGTTAATTATTATAAAATATTTCTTGAAATGCTGATGTTATTGTAAACAAAAGATGGAAAACACAAAATTTATAGATGTTAACTATTCAAATCAGTCCTTAACCATTTTAAATGGAAGAGAAAATAGTCGTCTGATCGACAGTGTTGTAACCAATCTTACCTCAATTTAAAAAAAAGAATCCCTAACTATAAATAGACACAACGTTTAATTATACGTTTAATTATTTACAAATATTTAAATAGAAATAACTATACTATCGTGGTATTAAATCTATTAGACTAATATTTGAAAACTAGACCTAACATTTATTCTTGTCAGAATTCTAATGTTGGAAATTAATTCAAATGCAATGAAAGTTTTTAAAAAGACACTTTATTCAAAGTTATTTATTGAAAGAGATTTTGTAATTCAATGAGGAAATTAAAAATAACTGAAAGTAGTATAATGTAAAAAGATTTTGAATTTATTGACTCAGTATGAAATGATTAAGTTAATATAGATGACTGTGAAATCATGAAAAATTTGATCACTCAGGTCAGTAAAATATAAAAAAGTTTATGAAGAATTTTATTTGTTGACATCAACACTTCAAATCAGTCATTAACCTTTCTAATGGAAGAAGTTATAATTAGAAGGTAATTGCCTGCATTTCCAGCTTCAAAGACAGGTAGCTATTTTTCTGACATATTTTCAAAGTTCTTTGCCAACATAAGCACATAAATGTACATTACATATAATGTGCAGTATCTATATAATATATATTAAGCATATGTATTATGTGTATATACACATATATACACATGTAAACATGCATAATAAACATTGCTTATTATTTCTGGCTATAGTCTATGAATAAAATGTGGTATGCTTTTCATATTTGAAGTTCATTAAGATTTGGTTTATGGAACAGATTATGATCTACTCAGAAAATTTTGTACATTTCAAAAAAGCCACTTTTGGGGGTGAAGAGTTGTATTATTTCGTAAGTTCTATAAATTTTCAATATTATATTTTGATAGGAATATTATTAAATACTAAAACAGAGTTTTCTAAATCCCCAGCAGCAGGAACTATACATATGTTTATGTCTTATTTACTTTTATGACCTGTGTCAGTTTGTCCCATGAATTTTGAAGATCTACTATTGAATTCATAAAGTGGGAAATTCCTGGAAAATTATTTTTATAATGGATTATTCTTTTTTCTTTTTTGTTC